TATCTTAAGCTAAACTCCTAAACAAGAGCCCAGTTTTGAGGGTAAACCCGAAACCCTGAACCCTAAACCCCCAATGCCCTGCACCCTAAGCCCTCTATACCCCAAACTCCCCACCTGTACCCATAGGCCCTAAAGTAGTTCCTTTTTGGGGTTCATATATAGAATACGATAAGGTAGCCCCAAGAAGGAACCACTTTTGGGCCTATGGGTAGTTTCCTTTAGTTAAACCAGGACTGTCCGCACGGCTTCTCTGGCAGCATCAGCCTCGATTGCCTTGACCTGAGCTTTCCGTCAGGGTCCGAAGGACCCAATCTGGGTTTTGGGTGTTTTACGGTTTTAGGGTTTAGGGTTTGGGGGTTTTAGGGTTTTAGGGCTTGGGGTTTAGGGTTTAGGATTTAGGGTTTAGGGTATAATTTTACGTATTGGCTGTAGTAAAAGCCAACAAGGATCAAAACTGAGGACTATTCATAATATAGCCCCAACAGGGAACCATTAGTAATCATGTACGTGGATTACGGATAGTAGTTTTGTAGGTTAGTATTCAGAAGAATATATTTTGCATTCGGTAGCAGCGGGATCTCTGGATTTACTGTAGGGGCCTTACATAACTGGAATAAAGGGTTTTGGGGTATATTACTATCACTATAACACGGATCCCCCAAAATAGCAACGGTATTCATTTAGGCCCTTATATTATGGGGTTTAGGGTTTAGCATTTATGGCTCTATCGTCTCAGGGCTTTATCAATTTAGGCGAAGATTCTTTTTACCAGGGGGTGAGGGCTCTGGTTAACGACTTGTGGGATTTAAGCTTTCAGGGTGCAGCGAGATACAAGGGGATCAGGGCTTAGAGTTTAGGGTTTAGAGCTTAAGTTTGGGGTTTGGGGCTTATAGTAGAAGCAGACTCAACAGACGCCTTGTGAAGGATGGGTCATTCACTACAGTAGCAGGAGATCCTAATCACCACGGGAGTCTAAGTCTACCTTGTAGCTATTACTGTAACTCACACTACCAAGACGTACTTATCACAAGCAAAGTATAGCATAACACAAAAACCCAGTCTAATTAGTAATGCCCTATCTTGCTGCAGCTCTCGGTGGTGTTGCTCATGCGATGCCATGCGGAAGCTCAGCCGTTACATCCTTCCACTGCCATATTCCTAGGGCAAGGGTTTAGGATTTCGGGTTTAGGGTTTATAGGGCTTAGGGTATCGGAGGGGAATGCTGCCCAAACTACTAGCCCCTTATCCCCAAGCGGTAAGTGAATTGAGATTAAACCCCAAACCCTAAACTTCCTGAACCCGTTTTAATGATTGATCTTTCCGCTGACTGGCCTCTTTGCAGCCCATCAAGCCGAAATCCGTCTAAACCGTGAAGGCCTATGTAAACGCTGAAATTGGAAGAAATTGAATCCCAAGCCCTAAGTCCCCATAATGCCTTGCATGGATCCTAAGACCCTGAGGCCAAAGGCCCTAAACCCCAAACCCGAAAGCCCGAACTAAGCCCTAGAAACCCTAAACCCTAAACCCCAAACCCGAAAGCCCGAACTGAGCCCTAGGAACAGCAAACTCGGCCCTTACCTGATTAGGGCTTTTGTCTCTCTAAACCCTCAAGGGTTTAGGTTTCGGGGTTTAGGGTTTAAGGTTCAAGTTCAAGGGTTTAGGGTTAGGGGTTTAGGGTTTAGGGCTCAAGTTCACTTCAAAATTAGTATTCACACCCTTCACGTGCAGTTCTTCTGGTGGTTAGTCACCTATATACTATCCATTGTAGTTCCTGCTATTGGAGTAACCAACTTTAGATGGGGATCTTATAAGGGAACCCAAAAAGGAAATACAGCGAAGACTATAGGTACACCCTAAAGACAGAATGTGCTGCAAGCCAGGTTTAGGCAGACCCAGCAATACTGGTCCCTGAAAGGATCCCTTAAAGGATGCCCTTTCGCACCCCCAATAGATCCCGTATAGGAGGGGCGCCCCCCCCCAATGCCAGGCACGTCTGGCATCGCCAGCGTGGGGTCCTCCAGCGGCTGCGAGCTGGGGCCTTGTAATTGGGAACCCACTTGGAGGATCATGGGACTTAGCAAGTAAGGTTATAAGTATAGTTACTTTAGTTATAACCCTACTTACTAAGTCCCATGATCCTTCAAGCACTGCACTGCCTTAATGAGAGGGCCTGAGTAATCAGGCAGGGATCTTGAGCAACCCTAAACCCTGAACCTGTACCGTGTTCTTTCGGGTTTTAGTATAGGGGCCTCAGTAAGTAGAACAGGTACATTTGAATTTTTAGCGCTTTCGTCTTTTTCGGACTCGAGGACAAGGATGCCGTCTACTTTACTTGTGAGTAACTAGCTTCTCACTGCGATTTTCGGCTGCTGTGCTGCACCATGTAAGATATCATGCGCTCTGCTGTGCATTGCTAAGTCAATTTTCAGGTGCAGTACCAGTTCTTCAGGTAATACAGAGTTACTAGGGCTTTCATGTAGTTTTTCGAGTATGTGGATCATCTGTGATTGCCAAGAGGATTTGCCCCGGCGTGGGGTCTATAGCTCATGGTGCCGTGAACAAAACGTTCCGTGTGAGCCACGGAAAAACGCCTTCGTAGCATTGTGAAACCCGAAACCCCAAGCCCCTAAGCCCTAAACCCTCAACCGTAAGCCCTAAACCCTAAACCCTTAACCCTCAACCCCTAAACCCCTAAACCCTAAACCGTTGGGAAACTTGAGGTCTTGCTGCGGCATAAACAGCCCGGAAAACCTGAAGCCCAATCTAATATGGGGGCTTAAAGTAATTACCCACACTATTTTAGGGTCCTTATTTTGATTATAGTATAATGGGCCCCAAAACCCCATTCTAATTATTAAGGCCCCTATATTGGGAGCTGTGCTCCTTATGCTAGATTCAGCCATCCTGGTTTGGGAGTTGTGAGTATAAACCGAAGTTCCATCTTGGGGCGGGAGGTCTAGAAAGACATGTTTGGTTTAGGGTTTGAAGTCTAGGGTTGAACATATTTGGGTGCCAGGGTTGGCGTTTGGTTCAAACTGAATGGTGCCTTTGGGAGGAGAGGGACATCTGGCGCCTCGTCGCAGGACTACGTAGCCCTAAGGGTCCATCGATTTGCTCTGTCCTTAACGGACTTCGCAGGAATGCCTTCAAAATAAAAGGTTTAGGGGTTTGGGGGTTTAGGGGTTTAGGGGTTGAGGGATTAAGGGTTTAGGGTTTTGGGTTTAGGGACTCATGGGGTGGTATGAAGACACAGTTCCTCGCAGTACAAACCAATTTTCTGTAGCAGAGAACCCTAAACCCATCAACCCTAAATCCTTAATTTTTATAGCACAGAACACACAAAACCCCAGCCTACTCTACACTACTTGCACTGATTCTATTCTCTGATCCCCAGCAAGGCCCCTTCCATGTCCGATTGGCACCACGAGCTACATGGAGCCGCTCGGCTTCCTCAAACACTAGGCCCCCAACCTAAATGGTACAGCTAGGGTTGTAGGGCTTCGGCGAACAACTTCATCCGAAATCTGAACACGAAGGCCTAAACCGCTAGACCCACACACTGAGATATGTGAACGGTTGCAGCTTAGCCAGTCGGAGCTTCCAGCATGTCGTGCATGCACTGCTTCGGTAGGGCTGGTACATGTACTGCTGAATTGTGGTTGTGTAGTGCCACAACGCTCGTGACTGTTTCGGGCTCCTTATTGAGACTGAATGACTTGATAGAGGGGTACCCTTGTTAGTTCACATCTGTGTCGCGCTCTCTTGAGGTTTTGCATCTCACCGGCAACCAAATGTACGAAGGAGTGAAGCCCTAAACCCTAAACCCTAAACTGTGTAGATTCCGAAGCCTCAAGAACCCAGCCCTCTAGGTCCCTAGGCTTGACCTCTCGTCCACCGATGGCATTGTAACAGCCCCAAAAGCAAACCGTAATAGTATAGGGGCCTGTATAATTAGAATAGGATTTTCTGGCCCAGTATACTATAATTATAACTAGGAGCCCCCCTACATTAGAGCCCTGATGAACTCCCAAATCTCTCTGAACCTGCTGAACCTGGACGTGGCGAAGATGAAACTGAAGCCCCGAGTTGTGCCTAAGGTTCCCGGGTGCTCGAACCAGGTTTACGAGTTGAGGGTCGAGGGTTTGGGGTTTACGGTTTAGGGTTTTGGGGGGTTTAGGGTTTAGGGGATTTGGGGTTGAGGGGGTTGGGGGGTTTAGGGTTTAGGGTTCAGGGGGTTTGGGGTTTAGTTCAGGCAGAGTCAACCCACTGCGGTCGAAAGATCGATCCCCTCTTCAGCCCCCATCATTGCTCCTGACGTTGGTCTTTAATGGTCACGAGGCTTAAAACCGAAGTGAACGGGCTAAACCCTAAACCCTTAACCCTTAACCCTAAACCCTAAACCGGCGGCTAAAGGCAGCAGCCTCCGAACCCCGAAACGAGAAAATTGAAACCCGAGTGTAAGGGCTGAAGGGGTTCAATGTTTAGGGTTCAGGGTTTACAGTTAATGGTTTGGGGTTTGGGGTTTAGGGTTTAGCGTTTAGGGATTTAGGATTTAGGGTTTAGGCTTCGGGGCTAAATTGGCTTCAGCGAGGTTCGCTTTTTGGTACTCAGGCGTGAAATTATATATGGACTTACGAACATACAGGGGATGCCACGCTGGCAATCTAGTGAATCACCATCAGAATGCATGCATGTGTCCGAAACCCGAAGCAAGGATGCTGCTGCAGGCTACCGAGTGACTGCGGCTCATGTCATCTTCAAAGGTTAAACCTAAACTCAAAACCTCACTGCAGCAACCTCTTCATAAGGGACATCGGGGCCTTGTTGAGACCCTTACCCTAAGCCCTAAACCCTTAAACCCTCAACCCTAAGCCCTAAACCCTTAACCCTAAACCCCTAAACGCCTAAGCCCCTATAAGCCCCATAAACCCGCGACTCAAACCCCCTAAACCCTAAATCCCTCAAGCCCTAAACCTCTAAGCCCCTAAGCCCCATCAAAGGTACGATTTCGTCGGCCGCAACGTCACACTCGAGGCCCTGCACAGCTGTAAAGAGAAGCACCACGATGCCTGAAATCTGGGGTTTAGGGTTTTACGGCTTTAGGGTTTTAGGGTTTAGGGTTTAGGGGTTTAGGGGTTGTACGGCTTTAGGGGTTTTAGGGGTTTAGGGGTTTAGGGGCTTTAGGGGTTTAGGGG